GTTTGCTTCTAGGACTTCACCCTCTGGTCCCTGCCCTGAATTCGAGGTTGGGGTGTGGATCTACACGCATAGGCCCTGTGCTGAGAGCTGTGGACTCCTGGGACATGCAGGCCACTTGGCCCCACGGTGCCCTGCACCCTCTTCTTTGGCAGCCTCAGCCATAGCATGCCCACTGGAGCCATTCTGTACCCATTCTAGATCCAGGTCAACTTCACAGCTACGGAGCCACAAGCCAACCCTCAGGTTCTCCTGGGAGATGTGAAATGGGGCTGGACTCAGCCATAGGTGTCCCTCCTGGCTGTTTCAGTAAGGGCTGTGAGTGTGGGTGACCCTTAGTAACACTGGGGTCAGGAGATGCACTCCCTTGGGGCCCCTAGCACTGAGGATGCTCCCTCCTGCCTTCACCCCCTCTTTGCCGTACTCCAGATTCACCCGTGTGCTGTGTGGTACTGTCACCCTGCCTCGCCTGCAACCATTCGCTCTGGAACTGACCTGGTCACTGAGCAGGTTTTCTCCCTCTCAAGCTAGAGATGCCTGGAGGCCAAATGTATCTGCTATTGTTCTTTCTTCCCAGTGATCTGGGCAGTATTCGGCACACTAAAGGATCCCTCTGAACATACATGAAATAAAAATGGATAAGCACCCTTCTCCCGCAGAGGAGAAGCTGAAGCAGAACAGCTGCTGCAGAGCTGTTCTTGTCTGAGGGGCTAAACTGTGAATCACAGTCTGATTCTGCGGCTGATTTCAACAGCGAATCTGTTCAGTTCATGGCAGAGCCGCAGCCCTGTACTTGCTCTAATGTTCTTCCCGCCTTTCTTTCTTCTTCTCCATCCTTCTTTCCCTGCTTCCTTCCTTCTCTTTCTTCCTTTCTTTCATCCACACACTATGATGTGTGCCATGGGTGTTCTGTTCAGCAGGTGTGCCGTCCCCACCCCATGCGCACAGCTGGCCAGGGACAGACATCGCGGTCCTCAGCGGTCCTCGGCAGTCCTCCTGTACACTGTCTCCAGCTCTCCTCCCACTTATTTCCCACATAACTGTGCATCGCCAAGGCCACAAAGCAAGTGGCTCAGCTTAGCACGGTGATAACACTGAGGATGCAGCACCTAGTGAGCAATGTTTCTAAACATAGAGGTGACTGAGTGTTTGCAGACCAAAGTGAGGCGAAAATAAGTGTGCTGCCCAGAAGGCATACAAAGCAAATACAGTTCGGAGCAAAACGACCAGCTGCCTAAGAGCACTGCTGCCTGTGTGGGACAAGCAGGGGAGTCTGGCGCATCGTCTCAGAAGACACATTTCTTAGCCACACTGGCTTAGCTCTGCTGCAGGTCATCGGCAGGCTTAGTACACAGAGTGCTGGGAAGCTGCACAGTGTGCAAAGAGAGACAAGCAACTGCGGACCGAAGGAATGTGGGGGGCAGGTACGCCCCTCTCCCTGTGCTTCCCAGGGAGCTGTTTCCTCATGGCCCGGGTGGTATATTCCGTGCTGAGGGCTTTGGAGCCATGAGAAAGACAGGAGCACTGTGCTCTGAATGCTATAGGAACACGCACAGGTGCTCTGTGTTTCGTACACATCATGTAACTTCTGTAGCATCTGTTCTTACCAATTAGGTTATTTATTTATTCCAGGTCCCTTACTGTTTCTGGAGTTTTTACTGATGAATATAAGAGTAAATATTTACCAGTAAAAGGCAGCATTTCCAGACACACGATTTCTGTAGGGAGCCATGGACCTCTCCCATGCTTGTCTCTTCTTGGCAAGAACTCTCCAAACCCACTTTTTACAATTCTGAACTACCCAAAAGCCGTGCTCATTTATGGTGTGTTATGACTGCATCAGGTAAATATCACAGTCCCATTTTACACAGTCCCATTTTAGACTGAGGCCTGAAGGAGCTGCCTGGCCGAGTGTGGGTGCTTGGCTGTCGCTGGTATCAAACTCATTTTCTGCAAGAGCAGCCTCGTTCCTACAGAGCCCCTCATGAGCACGTGTTTCCCTGGATTGTCCCCCATGGCAAAGGACAGCTGAAACTTAGGGCTCACTGTCCCTCATACTGTGCTCTGTGCCTTATTCTGAGCACCTGATTTCCTTCTTTATCCGCGAGCAGTGAGCACCATTCCCCTGGCCTCAGAAGCTAAGAGGAAGTTCAGTTTGCAGCCAATAACAGAAAACTCACTGAGGCAGACTCAGTGTTGTGTACTGTTCGTGGTCCCTCTACCGTGCCCGGGTCAGACTGAAGCAGAAGAATCAGGCTCAAGTAGCAATTCTTAAAAAGTATATTCTTAGACAATTCGGTGCACTTACTATGGTGTGTTGGTTCTGGAATATTTCCATATCCATTAACTTAAAAGTAAATACACACAATCCTTCGATAAATAATAAACCTACATGCTAAAGTTTTGTTATAAAGAAAGGTTTATCTGTTTAAGAATTAGAATGAAATAAAAGCTCGCTTTTGTAACCAATATTTAATCCAGCATTATACTGGTAGCTGCTTTAAATCTACGATAACTGAAGACTACAGCTGTGTGGAAGTAAAGATGTGCAGAGTCAGTCTCTGGGTAGAAATCTTACCGAGGACCGCATCCCAGCTTTGTGCCTGAGGTCTATGATAGCTGAATACTCACGTTGATTACATAACAGAAATCACAGCGGAAGAGAGTGCTGAGCAGCATAGTCTCTGTCTAACGTGCATAGAACCCACCGGAAATCAGGTCCCAGACCTCGGAGCTAGTACAGAGTTTACCTTAGATTGAATCATTAAAAGGAAACAGTTCTCTACGTTAGACAATTTAATCTCTATTATTGCTACTGCCTCTGTGACTCTGACTTGTTACTGTGGGAAATGTTGCATCACAGACGCAGTTACCTGTCTGACACCCCAGCGGGCACGAAGGGTAGCAGCTACGCAGTTGCCATGGAGACTATTGGATCAGTGAATATACATGTCTGGTCTGTCCCTAGGCACACCCCTGCCGCTAACAGCTCAGACATACTCCCTAGACCGACAGTCAGAGAAGAAGATAAACTGATGAGCAGCAGACGCACGAGCTCCGAGAGACTCACCAGAGCCTGACGCCTCTGCCCAACCCTGAGCTTTAGGTCTCGGGATGATGAGAACGATCTGTTTCTAGTCCCACTCCAAATGTGTTCATCCCAATATGAGGACAGCTATGCTTCATTCTAATACTTAATTTCTGAATCCTCATGAGCTCTGTTAAAATTCTCTGGCAAAGGCCGACCAAGCTCTGTTCCAGGGGGTCAGCAGCCTCTGACTGATAAGCAGGTTTTTCTTTCCAATCATATCACTGAGAACACCCAGATGGAGCCCGGGACTCATGGTTTAAAAGCTCACTCTGCAGAGTGTGTGTAAACAGGCCCACTTAGATTGTCTCATGGAGACAAGGTAACGGGGTGCGACCGAGAAAAGAGATGTCCTTCGAGCAGAGCGCTCGTTGCAGGGTCACCTTCATTCCCCAGTCCCCACAGAGAAGGGTGACCGGGTGCTGGGCCTCATGCAGCTCAGATGCATGGTAACACCCAAGGAGCGTCATGTGTGCACCCGCATACCCCAGCGGCTCCACAGTGCTCCTGTGATTCGGGCTGTGCGGTTCCACCTCCCTCATCACCCCTCACGGTGCCATCTTCACCCACAGAGGGGCTGCACTGAAGCAGCCAGAGCTACTAGAAGCAGTCTGCACGCACAAGGCCTCCTTCCGTGCTGGCGGCGTGGCGGTCAGGGGATGGATAAGTGTCTCGGAAGACAGAAGCTGGTGTATTTCCAGACATATGTAACTAGTGACATAAAAAATTTGCAACTTCCACCATTGTGAAAAGAGCCCCAAATAAATATGGCTCAGTTCATTGGTTAATTTTTCTCATAACAGGACTAAGGACAAGTGATTATAGTAAATATTTCTAGTAACGATGATCCTTTCTCAGTCATAATCACTGGGAGTTGTGTCACCTTTTCTTTGCAAGCAACGCTGAACCAGTTAACATTAGTTGTAAAGTGAGAAGACTATAAAACTGTCCCTATTCCTCTGAATTTGTCTTCAGTGCTGACTAATTTCTGCCCTGTAGTTAAAGAAAGGTCTAACTGTATAATAGCAAACATTTATTCATGACAGTGAAATAGAGTTATCTAAGATTATAAAGGTCAAGAATAAAAGAAGACAAACAGGCACCTCAGAGACATGTTATGGATTCACAAATTCATAAATACATTCTCTGAAAAGTTTGGACCATGAATTTGTCAGCTGAACCTCACGAACGTGTCTGAGAATAAATTCATCTGCTGCTTTTACACAGCAGTGGATGCAAAGAAGAAGCATGTCATGACTGTTAACCCTGATGCATCAACTTCAGATGCCAGGTGCCAGGCAGAGCAGTGGGGTGTGCTGCTGGCTGCATCTGGGTGGGTGATGGAGACCTGATGGAGACGTTGGGAATTTGTGTGGGCCCTGGCCAGCTCTCTGGTGCTGCTCCCCTGCTCAGCCTTCCTGGCCCTGAAGCACAATAGCAGACACCCACAACTTAAAAAGAGCAGGTTTCATTTGCCTCATGGTCTCAGGGAATACAGTCCATGGTCAGCTGGCTCCAAGGCAGAAACATCATGGCGGAAGGGCTGGGGGAGCAAAGATGCTCAGTTCACGGTGGCCAGGAAGCAGAGCAGGGGAAGAGAGAAACCAAACAGGTGAGGGGCTGGATGCAGACCCCAAGGTTACACCTCCCAGACCCCACAGATACTCCTAGGAACACGTGGCACTAATCTAATAGGGGTCCCTAATCCAATGAAGTAGACAGGTCAGGTCTAGTGATCACCATCTCCTTGGCCACACACACACACACACACACACACACACACACACACACACAGTCCCTTAAAACGTACTTAATCTCTAAACAAGACAATAGCAAGTTCATCACTGTGCCCAACACAACACACTTGCATTTCATCTAAATATTTCCACAATCAAACTGAGGAAGACGCTCTTACCACCTTCTTTCGTGCAAAGGCTGACGAGGTTGTGCACGGTGTCCATGAGCTCCAGCTGCTGTTTCTGGAGCAGACTGTTGTTGCTGGTTGCTCTGTTCAGCTGCTTCTCCAGCTCTTGGATTATGGAGGACTGGCGAGTGACCAGGCCTTGAAGGTTCTCTCTCTCCTCCTTTAAGGCATCCAACTCCTCCTGGTGTTTTCCCTCCATTTCTAAGATTTTATGTTCTAACAAACTACAAGGAAGCAAAAATAAGACTTAACTTTTAAAATGTTTTAGAAAATAAACACTAATTCAACTCATGCCTGAATTTTGGGTTAGAAATTTAACTTAGGCATTGTACCATGAATGGTCATATTTGAGAGATTCAAGGATTATACAGTTTCAGAGTAGGAGTTCCCTAACACATCAGATAAAGAATTGTGAAGCCAGATGTCACAATGATGTTTGCTTCCTAAATAGTTCACTTCTGGGATGTGTCTTACACCCAGTATAGCTCATTCAGACCAGAAAACTGTAGTCTGAAAAAGTTGCAGTAGAACATGTATTAAGAAAATGGGTTTCATAAGAAACAGGGTAGTTCATAAAAATATAAACAAAATATAGAAACCATTTTAATCTTACTTTGCTTCATTCATTTGGGATTCTCACAGCATTCCCATTGATTAAACTGCACAGCAATTCTATGGACTTGGGAAGACCACAAAGACGTCTAATTACAGAACCAGAAAGTGACCTGTTTGAAGTCACGAGCTCTCAAGACCTCTGGAGCAGGGCTGCTGCTGTCTACTGCTATCCTGAGCCTCAGGATGAGGCCACGCACCCTGCGTTCCCAGCTCTGTGCAAATGGTTTAGGAAATGGGGGACCCCTTTATGCTGGGGTCACAGTCCTACAAAAGCATGCAGTGCTTTGCCCCGAGTGATGCACCTTGGGGAGCCTTCCTCTCTAGGGCGCTTTAGACGGTGCTGTCCCGCACCAACTCACGACAGTGACGCAGAGCATTGCTCTGGAAACAAAAGTTATTTGCATTTCATGGAGTGTCTAATACACTAGTACTCCTCAGGGAAAAGGCTTAGCTATCCTCCTCAGTTCTGTTTCCAGAAGGTTCATCCAGCCCTTAGTTTACAAGGTGTTATTCAAATGAAATTATAAGAAAAGGCACTTAATTTACCTTCAGAGAAATATAGCACTGAATCATTTCTGTACCTCTTTAAAACAAAACACCCAGGGCTCTTTTAAATTTATGCAATGGAGTGGTCTGAGGAGACAAACTTTCCGCCTCCATGCTCCAGGGATGAGCCATTTGCCACACCTGACAGCAGGAGAGGGCATTGGGAACTGCCCCAGAGCATCCAGGCCTCCAGGGACCAGCCCAGTTTCCAAAGGGAACCTGGCTCGGCATGAGGAGGAGGCCCAGACTGTGTCCAGAGTCCTACTAATCGGCGACACCCGGGGAGTGTGCCAGTGTCTCAGAGGATGCCCACACAGAGACCCGGGTGGGAGCTTCTCACTGGGTGAACTTCCCTCTACTGGACAGCGCCCAGGTGGGATGGGTCTTTACAGATGGGATGGCCACTGATATCTCTTCAACCTTTTTTTTTTTTTTTAAATGGAAGACATAAGCAAGGAAATCAGAATAAGATGAAAGAGCATCACCAAGGGATAGGTATGATTCAGCAGCATTTTCTGCTGTGCCAGTGGCTTGTTGTTCCTGAGAAGTTCATGCAAAAGAAAGAGGAAGGGAAGGGGGAGGAGGAAGGGGGAAGAGCTAGGAGGGCAGGCAGGAAACAGCGGCCCGGCGGCACTCTGGCACCTGCTGTTTGAAATGCCCCCTCCTTCTCTCCATCCTGGGAAAACCATCAGCATTATTGCTGTGGAAGAAAATAGAGGTTTGCTCTGTTCCAGCTGATTTTTGGTATTCCAGTCTGAGAACAACCAACGCCAATGTATCAGTTCATTCTCAGTTTACCTTTGAATCACATTTGTTCCTATTCCTGGACGATAATCAGAAGTAAGACTGCCATAATTTAACCAGTAACTTATAAGAAAATTCTCTTTTACATTTGCAGGAGTTATGTAATTCTATCAGCTAACCTTGTACTAGCTGTTAAGACCATCATCATGTATAGGTCAAAATTTGAAGCTCTGGTCATGTAATACTGAATAAATATTCCAAATTATGTCTTCTGTCCCTGAAATGAGACAAGACTGGGCTTTCAATTTTCCTCATCAGTAAGTCATGTGCAGGTCTGGAAAGTATCATGTTTTAGTTGTAACTTGTTATTGTTAGTTACTAAGTGGCAATAATTATGTAAAATATAAAATGACACTATTACTAGACTAAGGAATTTTCAAGAGAAAATCCATTTATAAAATGAACTCTAGAAACTTCAGCTTCAGACCAAATACATTCTTCCATATTTTTGTAGCAATATTTTGCACTTTTTAATTTTGATGCTCACACTGCAGAGTAGGTAGTACACTCATAGCGAGCTGTTATCTGATACATCAATAAAAGAGGGAGCTTTGCTTATTTTGTTTTTTCTTTGGAAAGAAGCAAGAATGGGAAGTGTGTTAGTTACCTCCTCATTAGTGAGACACAATACCTGAAGCCCACTGTTTAAAGGAGGAGAGATTCATGCTGGCTCACGGTGTTAGGAGGTTCAGTCCATGGCCAGCAGGTCACATACAGACCCAAAATGGTGGAAGGGCCTGGAGAGAGCAGAGCTGCTCACATCAGGGCTACCAGGAAGCACAGGGTTACAGGAAGAGCCAGGGAGGGAGACACACCCTTCTAAGTCACCTCCCCAGTGACCACCTCTCCCTACCAGCCATCCGCTGACAGGATATTTATCTACACTGATCCATGGGAGGCTTTAATCCACAGAGGAGAACACTTTTCTCATCACCCAGTTACCTCCCAAAAGCCCGGCCTGCTATCACATGGGGCTCTGGGGAGCACTGGAGATCTCAGCTCTAACAGAAAGTTAACTAAACAAGCCTTCTGCCTAAGGAACGATTCTGTATAGTACTGTATGGAATAAAGGACTGGTGTGCCCTGAGTAGAAGGAACATATATGTGCACATCAGAAGCAACACTAATGTTCATAATTGACTGAACGGCCCTTCACGTGGCATGACTACAGGTATCAGAGGACACCAGGGCAGCCCACCACCTCAGAAGAGATGTCCATGTAAGCTGAAGCAGCATGGTCAGAGAAGGAAGAAGCCACAAGAACCTGGAAACCTGGCACAAGGTATTCTTTTGACTAATGTTAACCATGGTTTGTCAACTGCACCTAGCAGACTGGGGTTCACAGATCTGGGCGTGTCTGTGGATGACTGACCTGGAGGCTGGCAAACAGGAGTGAAGACCCATCCTGGACGGCCTGCCACCACCCAATCAGCTTGTGGCTTTGGGTGGGATTCATGTGCCTTTCTGAAGCGCTCCTGTCTCCGTGCACGGGTCTGTGTTTCACAGCTGTCACCCTCCTGATCGTGGCTGGTGCTGCACTCTTGGTCCCTCGAGCTCCATGACTTCCAGCTTCTTCCAGCAGCCTCTAATCCCACAGACACCACTGGCTCTCCTGTCTCTGGTCCTACAAGTCTGCTAGTAAACCCCTCATGCATACATTTTCTGTTCATTCTGCTGCTCTAGAGAACCCTGACGAACACACTCGGCTTCCAGACGGCGGGTCTTCAGGTCCTCACTCACATGGCCCAGACAGCCCTTGCTCTCTGGTCCTTCTGGGCTACCTTTCTGCATCCTTTATAGGAATGATGATCACTTTTGAGACTTCTCCAGGAAGACTGGTCTCTCCTCAACTCTTTGATTCCCTCTCACAGCCCTCGTCCCTCTGATTTATCTTCTCTTCATACTTGGCTCCCAGAGGACCGTTCTCTTTGATCTTCCTACCCCTTGGCTACGCTCAGCTTTGGAAGTCAGCCCTCCCTCCTTGTTACTTCCAAAATGGTTCGATTCCAAAGTCCACTTGCCAAAAAGTCTATGTGCTACAGCCAGTTGTTATCACATCCTTGTAAGACACTGTGATAGCACTTTAAAAATCTTCACCAACTCTGATGTGTAAAGCCGTGCAGGTAAAAATCTATCTCTCTTATTCAAAACCATGCAGATATTAAGTGTAAGTAACAGGGATTTAAAAAACCTCCTACACTACTGTGGAGGGTGGATTGACACATTTTTATTAGGCTACATGGGAATTCCTTGTCAACTTTGGGGGAAACTTAGATTAAACAAACAGTTCTAAATGAGGACGCATCTTACAAGCCAGGGTCCTATGGAACATTTATGAGTCTGCACTAAATCCATACAGCTTGAGCTAGAAGTCCAAAGGCAGAGTTTCTCACAGGATTTTCAGCACTTCCTGTTTCCCATCTTTCTGGACTCACTTTGAGAAGAGACATGCACAGGAATGTGGCACTTGGCTTGCGCCTTGAGGCAGAGGTGCGCGTTCGTGAAAACACAGTACACAAAATGATACAGGGCTGGAACCTCAGGGCGAGGTTCTGAGAGAAGGCACACAGCCCGCTCGAACGTTTCAGGGTGATTTTCCCTTCGTTTTGCAGACTGTTTTCCACACATATCTAACTGGAAGTCTTTCAGATCACCAAATATATCTTGAGACTTTCACAGAGAAGCCTCTCTTTCAAGCTGTTTCCCACAGTAAGTCTTAACCCAGCAGCCAGTGAATTCGCAGAGGGGAGACCCCTTAACTCTGTGTGTAAATACAGCTTCTCCAACAAGGAGGCTGTGAGCATATAGAAACCTCATTTTTGTCTGTCTGGACTTCAAGTTTTTATTGCTTTTAATATGCATAGTGTCAACGTGCAGTGCAAATACGGATTAGGAAGACCAGCTTCTTTTGCCCTACTTAAATAGAAGTATGTTTAGTCTGCGTTAAATTTATACTGCACATTTCTAATTTGCCTACTAAATTTTCTTCCCAAATCTGACTTCACACTTATGTTTTTGGTCATTCAAGTCTGAGTAGAAGGATAGTTGCTGTAAGTAACACTGGCAAGTAAGAGTTTAAAACAGAGGGTAAATAGGAAGGCCGGAAATACACTGCCGAAGCCAGAAATCAGGAGGGAAAGGGCTGGCTCGTTTCATGACATCAAAAGTAATAACTTTAAAAGCAACAGAAGAATGAGAGAGGTATCCATCACAGAAGCTGCAAGAAGCAGAATAATGGGGAAAACAGGTCTGGGGTTTCTGGTGAGGAGCACGTTCATCTGGCAGAGTCTGGCAAGGACTTGGAAGAAGTAAGCGAGTACAGGATTTTCAAGGATCAACAAGAATTTGAGAAAAATTGGCTGCCCGAGGTGGACAAGGCGACCATCAGATGTGCATCCGTGTCACGTGACACCGACCGTGCCCAGGCCCAAGCACTCCGCCTGCCTCCCACACGACCTCAGGCCCTGGCCCTCAGTGCCAGTAGAGCTGGGAAACCTTTCACAGAGAGTCTGAGTGAGTCACACAGCGCCTGTCACAGCGCTGGTTACAGCGGGCATCGAGGGACAGGGCGCCTGGGACGTCTGATCTTAGAGCCGTTGTCTGGGGCACAAGCCTGCACCTTCCACAGAGCCAAGCAGGAACGTGGCACCACACGGTGGCTGCTGGGACAGCCTGGGGACTCATCCTGGAGAGGGGACCTGCCGCTGTCAGAGGCAGAATCCTCAGTGGCTGGACCTCACATTTCAGAAGGGTGATGCTGGCAGAGCTCTGAGCCAGTCGCTCACCTGGTGCAGGGCTAACAGCCATGGCCCAGGCAGGAGGACATGTGACCCTGGACACAGCCAGTGGGGACCGGTGGTACAAGATGGACTGGGATAACAGGGAGGAGATCCAAGTGACAGAACCACAGGGCCTGGTGGACTGTAAGGGTCAGAGACAGACCTAGATTCCCAGTTAGGCCAGAATTCTACCTCACTCCAAGGTCCTAAGGTGACTGACATTGAGAAGAAAAAATACACTCTAGGCCATTCAATTCATTATACGAAAAACTGACAGGGGAATTCAAGGCTCTCTTCCATCAGCCTCTAGGTGTTCCGTTTACAAAAGGCCAAGGTATTAGGCATCCGAGGGCGTGGAAAGAATGGTGTCCAGTGTGCAGGACCAGCTGATGGCTGGGCCCGGTGTACATGAAGCCTGGGCACAGAGTTCCCCGCGGCAGATTCTGCTCGGGACCGTTCCTCTTGCACCTCGCTCAGCATGTCCTGCGATCATTTCTGCTCGGTCACGCCGCACAGCCCACAGGAGCAGCTGCAGAGCCGGTGGGCTTCCACATGTGGGCTACTCCGGATTCCCCTCTGGGGCAGGGCTGGAGGCTGCAGTCTCCCTCCGCCTGGTATCTTCTGGCCTCAGCAGGGGCACAGCAGGGCACCAGGCAGGTGACCCGGCCTTGAGCTCATACAGGGAGGTTACTTGAAGGAACCACTCTAGGAGCTCTGGCCCCTCACACCTCTTCCCCTCGGCTCTGAGCAGAAGCCCTGGGGACCCGCGCTGAGGGAACTCAGAGAAAGGGCCACCCGTCTCAGTGTGCACCCTGCCACCCTGTGGGCGAGGTGAACGGCAAGCTCTCCGTGACTCCAATGCCTGGCTGTGCCGTTTCACACGGGAGAGTTCAGGTCTCTGACTTCTATGCGCCTTTTCCTTGAGGTTAGAACCAAAGTGTATTTCAGGATGAGGGCAGCATCCAACAAAAGGGGAAAAAAATCCGTACAGATAACAAACTGGAAGGTTCCTGGGGTCACTCCCGCTAGGTTGCACAGAAAACAAACAGCAGAGCAAACCTTGCTAATCCTATTCCTGCTTTGTGCTCTCAGCTATTTTGGGGATAAAGAAGTGAATCTAATGAGGCCAAAACCTCATTTTCATTTGTCCGGATGTGAATCAGCAGGACCTCTGCATGCTGAGTAACACAATCCTATCCATAAAATACTCCTCATTCCGCCGGAGAGGTGGCGGGCATCCCTGAGGCCCTTCCTGTGCAGGCCCGGAAGTGACACTGCCAGCACAGCCCTGAGTCCCCTGGGAGGAGGCGAAGCTGATGGCGATGACCCAGCCCTGGTAGTGAACCCAGCCAGGCCCAGCCAAGGAAAGGCACGCTGCTCCTACGCTCCGAGAGGGCTGCGTGCTATACCTGGAGGCCTGGGGCTCACGTAAAGACAGACAGGGAAGAGCACTGAAGTCCTGGCACTCTACGGACAGCTTCCAGGCTGACTCTGACCTTCCCTCCCCTTACAGGGAAGGAACAGCTTCTCTATTGCTCTACAAGATGCTTGGCAGGACTCCGCTCCCTGCACTGCATGTGTGAAATAGGTAACAATAAACAGAAGGAAAATGAGATGTGTGTCACATCGGGTACTGGGGTTTCTGCAAAGAAAAGCACTTCTAAAAACTGGTTCAGAAGGACAGAAGTCTCTCCAGCCCTCACCGGGCCCTCTGGCAGGAAGAAGGTGGCCCAGGCCAGGATGGATCTGCACCCCGGGAGTTGCCAGTGTCACTAGGAGGGATTCGGATGGCTGAACAGGAGCACAGGCATGAATTTCAAAGCAAAACCTAAATCCCAGACTTCTTTTGGAGTATATTTGTTGTTAGAAAATGGAATGTTTTCATTAGTAATAAATGATATAATCTGTGTCTGCAGGAAAGTCTACATTTCCTCCAGAAATTGTGATTTCATTGGGGTGCTGGGGTTGCTGCACAAGGAACCCTTCCACTTGACCCAGAGGGGCCTTGAGAGTGGGCTCCGACTCGTTTTTGTTAATGCAACGGAGAAAACAACTTTTAACCAGTTTCCCTTAAAAATACATTTCCTAGTGCTGATCCCATGGCAGGAATGGATACGGGTCCTGTATCAACATCATGCTGGAAAGACTACAAATCCAGAAATTAAATTAGAAGGAGTCACACTTTAAAGGAGAAAATGCAGATGAAACGAAGGAAAAGGGACAGCGAGAGACCCCGAGGAGCTGATACTTCGGACTTCCTGCTTGTGTGCTTTTAGTGTTCTCACGGCTGCAGAGTCACATGGAGGCCAAAGGACATCACAGCAGCAGCACAGGCTGGGAGGGGACCGAGGACCCTGCCGGCACCCCTGCAGAAGACCCCGCGCAATCGGTGCCCCTCGGAGGTGGAGGGAGGCCCATGACCCCCTAGAATGAGACACTGAGAACTGGTCACGACTGCTGTACCTGATGTTCACAGGCCCACCTCCAAAGAAAGAAGGTGGCAAGACAACGTGCGAGCTTGACATGCCCTCGTGAAACTGTATTTATATCTTAAATTCAGCAAAATGTCCAGCTTCCCGTGGTGAGATCATGGTTTTGCATTTTCCTTTGTGTGTTTTTTTAATTTTTCTACAAAAATTGTGCATTATTTCTGCAATCCTACAAAGAAATGAGTCAGAAAAATAAGATAAAATTTTCTTGCCCTATTCATTCAAAATTTCTGGACAGTTTCCACACTCAAGGTTGAAATGTGTCACTGCAGATCGGGTTCACATTGGCTGACCCACACCAATGCTGTGCAAATCGAGCTGCGTCCCTACACACACAGGCACGCGGGGTGCTGGTGGGGTGAGCAGGCTCCTCAGGAGGATTTCCAGCCGCGGGGCATCTCACCAGGCAGCCAGGTCAGGGTCAGGTCTTACTGGGTTTATTTATAACCACAGTTGACCCCATGACATTGTTCAAGGCTAAACAAATGGAAAACTGAGCCCTACAAGTCAGAGCATGCCACTATCCCTGTCCCATCCTAAACCAACAGCCAGGCTGACTGTGGCACTGTTGGCAGGAAGCTGGCAACAGTTGCAGGTCATGCACAGAAAAGGACATGAGAGACAGGGAAACAAAGGCCCATCAGGGAAGAGACCAGGGGTTCACTCCCTGGATGGGGTCCTCAGCTGTGCCCCAGCGATGATCCCTGGGCTGCATGCTGCACAGCCCTGCACAGCCCCTCAGGCTTTGTGACCATGGCCCTCATCCTGAGTCCCTTCCCTCCTCTGCACAAGCAGCACATCTCCAGGTGCCTCCCTGGTTTAGAACAGGGTAGAAACGGTCCCACCAAGTCTATAAGACTTCACCAATTCCCACCAGTGCAAGTCTCTAACAGGATATAATGCACAAAAGCTGAAGCTCAACTCCGACCCATCCCAACACTCAGAAGAACGAAATTAAACACACTTTAATGCTGCGAAATGCAAGATTGTGGTACCGTCGACATCAGTGCTCTGACCGAGCTGTCCATCACCAACGTTAATGACTTCAAAGGCTTCAGATGTCGGGGTGCAAAATCTCTGACACCCCCTGCCTCACTGCCTGAGATGAAGCACGATTCCCTCAGCACTGTGTTCAGAGTTAACTGCACATTACTGTGTCTGGAGGCTCAAGGTGAGAAACAAAACAGAGAGCTCCTTGATTAAAGGCAAACAACTTTGCAGAAAAAATAAAAATAAAAAATAAAAATTTGTGGTCTTTTTAGTGAAGATTTCCGAATTCAGCCATTTTGCTATTTCATAAAGCTTAGAAGTGAGCTAAGTGAGGCTCTGTTTGCTTTCATTACAAATTTTGATTCTGGCAACAATGTCACTATTTTCCATTGCCAAATTTAGCCAGAGTCACATTGTTTTGTGGATATGCTAGGATTTGAGTAATTGAAGATTAGAAAGTTAATGCTGTTCTAGCAAGTATCTCAAGAATGTAAGCTGCAGTATTTACTGACTGTTGACATACTTACACCATTCGCTCTAAGACTTCCTTTCTGTCCTTTAAAAAATTAATTTGCCTCTGCATCTCTTTTTCTTCTTCCAGTACTGGGATTTAAACCCAGAGCTTTCTCACTGAGCTACGTCTTCACACCTTTCCAGGCTTTACGTTCAGACAGCATCTCCTTAAGCCACTGGGTCCCCAGCCTGGACTCTAACTGGGACTCTGCTGTCTCAGCCTCTCAGGGTGCCCTGGCTACCAGCCTGAGTCACCATCCCCAGCTGGGTCTCTTATTTGGAAACCAGCTCGACCTTCATTTTCCAACAGTTGGCAGAGATATAAGTGAATACACACATAGCTGGTGTTAAATCAATAATCCTCACCTGTTTTTTTCATGAATTTTTAGAATTTCATTTGTCTGTTGGAGAAGTTGCTTCTCTAGTTTGTACGTTGACAATGAATTCTCCAGCAGTTGTATTTCAAGTCGAGAAGTTTGATTTAGTACCTTAACATAAAAGACAAAACAATTCCAGATTCAATCACAAATCAAAAAATATGAAACAAAACAAAAACATGAAACAATGGATTTTTGTTTGACTTTTGCCCTTATATACTATTTACTCAAGAGTGATTAATTATATTGTGCATTTTCTATCAACTGTGGCTTTCCCTGTGTCGTCAGCATGCTGTCGTCTGAAACCTAAGCTTCGGCTGGGAACCCTGGATGGCCGAATCTGTTTTCACAGTTGAATCTTTGTGTTCTCACGCTGCTGTTGGGCAGCCCAGGCTGCTGGCTGCTTCTGTATTTCGTCTCCAGTGTTCCAGGCACAGAAAGGGTATTTCTACAAGGTCTGCGATACTGCGGGTGCCCAGAACAGCGGAGGCGATGCACATGAGGCACCCCTATCTAGATCGACATGACTCGGTTCGCAGATTGCAGATTTCGAGTTCGCTGATCCTGCTTCATGCTAGACTGTGCATCCCTTCCGGCGTCCCACCACTTCCCAGGCATGGCCCCCTAGAGGAGGGAGTCACTCCCACTTTAGGAATGAGGAAACCGAGGTTCAAAGAGAGGCCTATATCCACAGAGGAAGCCAGGGAAAGAGCTTGGTGTGGTTCTGTGGTTCTGCGTGTGGCCCAAGGAAAGGCAGAGGCCAAACCTCGGGGCTCCACCTTGGGAACTGAGTCTGCACCGAAGAGGATGGCTTCCCCCTTCCACACCAGGCCCCTGTGTCCTCTGGAAACTAACCGCTCACTCCTGTGGGTCCCAGCTGCCCAGAGGGGTCATTCCGCAGCCCGGGCCACTGTCCCTCCCTTTCCTCTCCCTTCCCTCTGCAGGGGAGGTTTCAGGCAAGGAAGAGGCAGAGGAGTGCGCTTAGGGGTGGGGAGGGCGGGAAGACTTCCCAGGCCTGCTGCTGGGGCTCCGTGCAGGCGACAGGAGGGCAGCAGGAGCAAAGGACATGGTAAATAGATTCGAAATACTCATTTCCAAACGACTGCCTTAATTTCTTACAAAGTCTGCCCCGAAGGAAAAAAGGAAATGACTACTCCAATTAAAAGAAGCTATTACAAATTGAAAAACGACACATCTGTAAAAGTTCTGGTGGAGCCATAAAGGAAATATGACTATAAATGAGTCTTTGAAAATCAGTGTTCATCTCTGTCTTGATATAGCAATATATAAATCCATGCACTTATTGCGTGTGACATTTTATACTTACAGATCATGTCTGTTATGTCTATGATGTAGCCTCTTTACATCCGAATAAATTTAACAGAGTAACACAATTCTCTAACTGCACCAGGCTGTGGAGCCTGGCGGTGATGGTTTTCCTCCCACAGACGCAGAAACGGGGCTGAAGTCACTTGCTCAGCACAAAGGAGGAAGCGGGCGGTCCACTGCCAGAGCCCAGGTTCTCTACCACAGGCTCCTGAGCTATGAACAGCAGCGTCCTCTGGCTCACTCAGTCACGACTGCCACCAGCGTGCTTTGCTTCCAGCCCCCATGAGGTCTTCTTGGAGCAGTGCCTGGCGCCTGGCGTCTCCTCCCATGACACCCTCATGAGTGCCGAGTCAGGAGGTGCCCACACTCCTCAGCTCTGGGCACAAAGGGAACCCATCACCGTGCCTGTCAGGGAGAATGGTTCTCCTTGGAGCCCTATCCTGACACATTGGCTTTGTCAGCTCACATTCACTGTCCACTAGGCTGGATTAAGGAGGGCCTTTGCTCCTCCACGCCCGTCCTCCATGACAGCCGACCATGGACTGAAGCCTCTGAGATTGCGAGCTCTCCTTCTTAGGCTGGAGTGCTGGGTGTTTGTGCCCGCAGTGGGAACCCTGACCAGTACAAGTTCTCTGTGCCTATCAGCACCACCAGCACACAGTCCTTGGCATATTTGGACTTGGGATCATTTTACTGAAATACTACAAACTTTAGGGATTATGATTAATTTTATTGTTCAACAAAAACTTACAAAGTGTACTACATAACTGGTCCTGTTCTAAATTTTAATGATAGAACTGCAGATCAAAATAAGATAAAGATCATTGCTTACTAGGAAGTTAAAACTATGCAAGGGTTGATCAGATTTTCCTAGAAAGATAGCAAATGTCAGGCTGGCTGGGCCATCTTTTCTCTGCTATAACTACCGTACTTTGTTACTGGACTGAGAAAGCCAAGATAACACCCTGGAGAATGCGCGTGGCTTTATTAACAAAAAGAAATGGTCAAGAACAGGCGTGCTGGTTTGTGGCTTCTGATAAAATGGGGCTAGGTGTGCAAACCATTTATCAGGGGGAATATTCGTGAGGGGTAAATGGAAGAAGCCAGAGGAGGAAAGGAAGCAGGGTGGATGGCAGCCCAGCCCTGGGCAGCTGTGAGGATCTACAGCAAGGCGGACAGGAGCCCTGAGCCCGGATTACGGGTCAGCATTGCTGCTGCTCCCAGGATCAGAGCTGAGCAGCCTGCCAGCATGGCTCATCCAGCACGGAAATGGTCAGTTTCACCGTCTGCTGTAGGCGGAGGAAAGCTCCACAGGTGATTAACCTGCTAGACACAAAGACTTGGTTTAGAGCTGTGCTGCCCTAACGTGGACTCAGGGGGTCCAAGAGCTGCTGCATCTGCTGCTGTAAGACACATTCCACAGGGAAACGACATGAGGTCGTGGTTAAACTTGGACTGAATTCCACATGGAACACTGCGGTAGCTGCATGAGTTACTGGAGGGTGGAGAGCACTTCCTGTAGTTAACACAACTGGGAGTACATCTGGTCACAGGGTCACAGTCACCCATGGGTGGCATCGGAGGTGGGACCGTCTCTGTGACCCATGGGGCAGGGCAGCATCTCTGTCAGTCACGGGGAGCATTCTGGGGTACACTTGGGGCTGCACTGTCTTTGCTTGATCTGATTTCCAGCTCTGCCCTCTGTGGGGGCTGCTGTCCATCCTGCAACCTAAGAGGAAGAAGGGGACCCCAGGGGAGAGGCAGTTCTGAGGGGACTCTCTGGCTTTACCCCCCTACACACACACACACACACACACACACACACACACACACACACACACACTACCTGCTCCTCCTGCAAGTCATTCCACCTGTGTTTTGTTGTCAGGGCTTTAAACAAAAGTCAGTGAAGCTATCGACCTTCTGGGGTTTATTATTCTTGTGCGGCTGATATATGTGGGATTGCTTAGAACTGAGCAAGGCTTGAGTCTTGAAGTGGATTTTAGTGCATTCTGTTTGAGTGACAGTCCCAGAACTGAATTCCCCCAAGAAAGGAGGAGAATAGAATCCCTGACAGGGGTCACACACAGTCCCTGACATGACTCTCTTCACAGCACAGGCTTGGAAAGCGGATGCTGAGGAGCAGAGAGAGATTCTGGTTCACGTGACAACAGAGAAGGACGTGCATCTCCCTTCCAGATCCACACCAGCCCAGGAGCTTGGGCACCACATCCACTGTACACCTTGCTCTGTCCTCTTTGGTTGGGCAGCACGTGCCGAAGGGCTGAGGAGGAGGACACAGGAGGTCCTGATATTTAAAACATCCCATGAGATCTGGGGACCGAAATGCCCTCCAAAGCTACTGCCCTACGTTCTCAAAACAGCCAAGGTCCCAGACTCAGTTTCGGGAGCAGCTGTGCTCACCAACATGAACCAATGACGTGCAAGCAGAGCCACTCAAACTCTCTACCCAAAGCAACCATGACAAAGAGGAGTGCGAGGCTGCAAGCTCACTGTCCTTGTGCAGAGCACTGATCGTGGCCCTGCCTCAGGACCTGAGTGTGCTTCCTGGTGTGACCTACACAGTCTTGCCCCTTTGCCTAGTCACACATGCACCCCATGAAAGGGTTTGGAGCCGCACAGCCTCCAGTGGCATGGGTAACTGAAGACACTGACAGAAGCCAGAAAGGACACGTGAATGTCTCTCCTCTTAAGGTGGACATAGTTTGGCTTTCTTCTCTGCTTGCTTCTCATTGCTAGTTCTGAGGGATGGCAGCTCTGTTTCTCAGATTCTATCTTAAAATTGTCAGCGCAGTTCCCAACAGACTTTCGCTGGCCTTCCATAATGACGGTAGCTGTTTCATGCAGGAAACAGTACTTGTTTTTTGAGTTCTCTGAATTATTTTCCCTAAAGCTCACATCTCCTAGCTGATAGAATGCAGAACAGTTGTTATCGTCTAAAACCTGAGATTACATGCACCTTTACAGTCTGAAAGCTAAAAAGCTACCACTAGGAATGCTTTCCCCACAACTCTAATTCCCAAGTGGGAAGAAAATAAAAACAACCACAGGTGAAGGTTGCTAAAACAAAACTCCATCATGTGTGTCACAGGAGTTCAAGTGTGCAGTCTAATTCACCATGCATTTCAGCTCACGAACATATGAGAATGTTTTGTAACAGATGGTAAGCATTCTGCTCTAACTCAAACAGAAGAAAAACTCACATTCCTTACACCACAAGAAGCTACACTTGCTTAGGGTGGTAATGCATGATTAAACTGGTCTCATAAGTGTGGTCTCACTATGCAGTTTCCTCCTCCTTCCTACATTTGTCTGACGCTAATGCACAACAGAAGCCTATGTGACTGATTTCTCCAATGCAGTTATAAATCAGGTTCATTTTAAACAAAGGAATGATTGGAATTTCTAATCAAGGTGTATAAAAAAGAAACAGTGAAGTTTTGAATCTTGAGTTCTATTTATTACTTGTAACACTGTAGAAATCACTCAAATTTCCCATGCTTCGTGCCCTAGTTGGCTTTTATACACATCCTTCACACGTGGGAACGTGTATGTTTGTGTAAGATGCTCCAGACATAAATATTACCATTGTGATTTCTCTCGAAATACTGCCATATGATCTGTGGTGCCACTACGTAAATGAAATAAGATAAAATGCATCTCATTTTTGCATTTAAGTCTGTTAGCTTGGCAACAGACTCTGCTCACACTGACAACATCCTCCCTCGAGTTTCGGAACAGTGGAGGCTGGAATAAGCATTTCTGTGGCCAGAGGGGCATGGACAGCTCAGCTTCCAGTCGTCATAAAATGCTATTTACTGTGTGCACTAAGAGCAGGGCGGGGAGTTGTTACCTTAATGATGAAAGGGCATCCTAGTTTTCACTGATTTATACTCAAAAAAGTATCTCATTGCACCTGTTAGGGGACAGACCAGCAGACAAGCACTTTGGATTGGTCCTCTGCGGGCTTTCTTTCAGCTCCCAAAGCCTTGCAGTTGCAGGAGAGCTACGGCACTACCAGAGACACAGGAAGTGAGGCCCGAGTGCGCAGCCAGCCAGGAATGCCACCCAATGGATTCCATTTGACATCAGCTCACGTCACAGGTGGTGGATGCAGTGCGTATTTGAATGGAGATGAAGATTAGGTCGTGAAGCAGCCCTGTTCTTGCTAATACACTAACATTTAAATCCAAAGAATCAAACACAGTGTGCCAGGCAGTCTTGTTACTGCCAATCGACAAAAACATCTGCTTCCCGAGTTTCTGTGCTGAAATGCGTGCTGTGTTGGTGAAGTAGGCTACAGCATGAAGGTGAGAAGGCAACTTGGGGTGTGCATGTGGCCCAGGGCCCTACCTGGGTCTCCACGTCCGTCAGCTTCCGGGTCTGCTCTGCGGTCTGTGTCAGGAGGCTGGTCCCGATCTCCAGCATGGTGGCCGTGTGGTTCTGAACTGCGTTCTGCTGTATCTGGGCCATCTCCGACTTCATATTTTCCACGATGTAATTCTCAAGCTGCAAGAGATAAAGCATAAGCACGCTACATTATGAGCAAATCCTCCAGGTCAGGTCATATAATATTTACAAAGACAAAACAAGGCATAGCTGCGAGCTGGCCATCTGGCAGGGCCCCTTCGTCTTGGGGAGCTGGAGAAAGGGAGCAGAGCATACAGCAGTCTGGCTGCTAGCAAGCCTTGCTCTCCACACGCCCCGGAACAGGCCTCCCTGCCACTGTGAGCGCTGCCTGGGATCGAGCATCCCTGTGAATGACGTCATCTCATCCAACCCACACAACAAAGACTGGAGCGAGGTGTCAGGCTCCTTGTTCCTTTAATCCCTTCCACTGAGAAAGGAGCCAGAGGGGTTAATGATGAGCTCAGATCACCCCTTTGGAAGCCAGCAGTCAGCAAAGATGTTAATCTAAGGCTTAGTTCTCTGGTCTTTTCATGGTGCTGTGCCAACTACCAGTCTCAGCTGAGTCTCGCCTCCTGCTTGCGCTCCATCATGATCAGCGGAAGACCACAGCGTACAGGAGATAGAGGAGGACAGGGCAGGGCAGGTGCCCAGACAGCCTTCAGCAAATTTAGGCCAATTTAAAATGCAGGCAGTGACAAGGAACTGGAACCTGATTCCCATGCTCCTTCCAAGCTCAGAACGGGCCGGAAGTCCAGCCCGTGAGGCAGCATTCCCACTTGGTGCCCTGATGAAATGCATCGCTTTACCGTGCACCTCCAGGAACACGGTGGTTGTAAAATAGTAACCAAGGGACCTGCAAGAAGCATTAAGGGTCCTGGAGAGGGGCTCTCAGGTGCCACGATGGGGGCTGGGAGGAGCTGGGCCTGAGCCCTGCTGGGGAGAGCAACAGCGCCTGCAACCACCCATGTCAGTGCCCTCAGCTCCCTGCCCCTATGCCCTGACTGCATTTTATTACCGGGCCACACAGTTCAGGCATAGCCAGCCCCACCGGACCGAGTGTGCATCCTTGCCTCTCCCACCAGCACTCTAACCGCGGACGGAGCTGCCAAGTTGAGCTTAGCAAGCCGGGTTCCAAGTCATTAACAGCTACGTGATTTTTGCCGACCTAGCGAACTATGATGCATCCACCATTTCATCATCCATGGTAACGTTATTGTCGTGTAATAAATATAGTCTCCGCGTAAATTCCCCCTTGCAGAGCTCTGGCAGCTCGCTTTCTAACATCATCTCTTGCCTATTTTTATTAATCATATACGAGTGTGCCCCAGACCAATAAAAACAAAAGCTCAAAATAAAACTCATGTTGTTATTAATAAATTCTGAACTTGTTCCTGGTCCCATCCTCTATTCTCAAATCAGAAGTGCACAGGGAGGAGAGGCATTCAACCTGTGAAAGCTTACTGCAAAAATGCAAAATGGATTGGGATAAATATCTGAAAAGTCCCATAATAAAATAAAAGGTCTCCAGCCACGTTCTGGTTTTACTCCAGGTACACTAACATGTTTAAGCAATGAGGGGGAATGGCAGGTGAGGCATGGTCAGAGTGGTAAGCATCTGGCTTCTTGGATTCCACATCATGCTTCTCTTTCCCTAGTGGCTTCCCCTTCCTTCCTGCAGGAAATCGTCTTCCCTCCTTTCAGAATAAGAGCTTTGGTTGTCTGGACTCTCCCAGCTTCAAAGAGGGGCTGCGTGTTCCAGCCCAGAAACCTCGGCCTTGCTGCTTAGCAAGTAAGTTCTCGTGAGTGGGCAGATGTGATAAGCGAGGCCATTAAGACTCAGCTCTGGAATTGTGTCTACTGAGTTCACACAAGAGCTGCTCCCTTCTTGGTTAATGAACTGGTGACATGGATGGCTGATGCAGCTGAAGTCCAATTTCGCCAGAGCCAGCCTAAGAATGAAGTCCATTCAGAGAAAAAGAAGTGAGACAGACAGATCCAAGGGTGGGCCGAGCAGGGTAACAGACAGAAGGCTGTGTGGCCAGCACCTGGCTCGGGCCACACACTCAGTAGAGTCCATCCTTGGGCAGTCGCGAGTTCCACGGTCTAACAACCTCCTCCTATCCCCGCAACAACCAGGGTGCTTCTTTTTCTTTGAGTCACATGGATACAGGCTTTTAACACAACAGAAAGAATTCTGGCTACTATATTTGATAGATGTTTAACTATAGTGTAGCCAAGACAGGCTACACTAGTAGATGTTCCCTGCTTGTCCTGGGGCTCTGAGATCCTTATGGACCTGTGTGCCCCTTTTGAAGATGTTACCTGCTACACATGACTGGCGCTGTCTGCAGCCTGGTACACAGCAGTCATAAAAGTGCTTATAAAAGTGCTTCCCTTTTATAAAATAAAGAACCTGGACAATGCCATGCACTACCGCAGCTTTGCAGATGAGCCTCCTGAGGCTTAGAAACTGCTGCCAGGTGCTGGAGACTTCCAGTTGCCTCCACAGGCATGTTCCTGTCCTGCCGTGCCCTCCTGGTCACTGCCTTTCAGCTGTGGCTCCTGCTCTTCACTACACGGGAAGGCTTGGAAAGTCGACGGACGGGCTGCGTGCAGGGTTTCCAGGGCAAACGCTGGACACTGCATCACAGCTTCCAGGGGAATTCTGACCCAAGCATGAGCTGTGCTTCTCCAAATGTGGTCCAGGGTTGGGGACAGCCAGCGTGAGGAGGAGCTCGGCAGAGAGCCAGTGATGCTGGCACACAGCACAGGCTTCGTTCACCTGACGGCTGTGCAGAGCTCACAGGGCACAGCAATGTGCTGGTTCCCACTCTGGAGCAACACTGGCACCGCGTTTACAGGTCTACACACTCCGCAAGTAACCGTCACTCACGCTGTGAATCAGATCTGTTGATTTCACTGCCGATCCAGAAGTTTCAACATGTTTTCCCTCCCAGATTCACTAATCAGGAGCCCCAGGACAGATTCTGCCAGATAATTCTATGTAGGTTCCTCATGCAGGAATTGGTTCCCAGTGCACGCCTCGCTCTGGGTGTGCAAGACTACAGACCCCAGGATGTGCGGCCCAGGAAACCAGGAGGCACAGGCGGCCACATCCTGTGCGGCTCTGCCATCTGCCTGAGGTGCCTCCTCCTGAACCCAGAATCTTAAAACTAGCAAAGGTTTCTGCTGGCGTCCAACACAACCAACCAGAAGAGCCTCCCCAGCTGCAGATCCTGTCAAGAAATCAAGGAGGCCTCCAGCGGGAGTCCGAAGCTACCAGAAAGAGCAGCAGGAGTGTAACTCAGTTATCTTTTAATCAGGCGAAGCTGCTGCCTCCAGGGATGAGCGCCCAGCAGTGCCAGAGCTAAAGCCTCACAAGGGGTGAGAACCACAGGCAACTAATTAAGGACCAGAACTCAGGTGTGCAGCGTGTATGACTAAGCAGGGTGGTTCTCCTGTGTCCCTCAGCGTTCCTCAGGAGACGCAGAACGTGCGCTGCATCCTGCTGCAGGCTACCAGTCCGAGAAAAGATAGGAAACTGATCCGACTGTTCCTGTATTCCCTCCTGGTTTCAAAATATGCTTATACAAAATGAAGGCTCTCTCCAGGGTCGATACTGTTACTGATTCTGTGGATGCATGTGTGTGTATACACGCATGCCTGCATGCTTATGTGTGGCACTCAGGAACCCAAGGCCTTAACACGGAGCCACTTCCCCAGCCCTTTTTTTTTTTTAAGTTTGGAGACAGGATTTACTAAGATACTAAGTTTCCCAGCCTGGGGTCAAACTCCCAATCATCCTGCCCCAGCCTCCCACGGTGCTGGGATCAGAGGCGTGTGCTACCACATGCTGGCTTTCCAGGTACACTGTAAGCTGCGAAGTTGCTGACCATGGAGCGATGAGTCACAAAGTGGGGGATCCCAACCTGAATGTGAAGCTCTTTGACTACACCGCCACTCTCAGGCCTGAGCCTAGAGATTTATAAACTATGGCTAAGAGACTGAGAAGTACGGATTGGACAGGATGTGAAACGGATGCTCTGTGAAGCAAGGAAACGGCATGACTTTCACGCACGCCGTCTCGCCCTGTCTGACCCAGCCTGCGAAGGTGTGCGTTACACCTGGAGAAGAGGCCTGGTGACGCCGCTCTCCCGAGGACCAGCCTGAGAGCCGGTTCCCAGAGCGCTGCGGCCTGGCTGCCTGCTGATGACCGGTTTCACTTGTGCCAGCTCTCTGTATTCATCGGCACTGTCAGTGAGTTCTCTGCCTCACACACGGGCGGCCGAGGTAAGCTGCAGTGAGATGAGGCCCCGGGGCCAGGTGGGTGAGAATAAAAGGGATCACTGGAAATATAAGGAGTTTTTCTTAGTGGTATAAGTTTGCTTGATCTTCTCATTCTGTTGCGTGCAAGCCACTGTAAGACCACAAAGCGACTGACAGCAGCACACTAAACCTCTCCTAAGGCCAGGTGTGTCTGCAGTCGGTTGAATCTCATCCTTATCCCTTCCCTGGTTTTATTAGTAGGAAACGGGGGCTCATGGAAGCTAAGCCGGTTGTCTAAGGTCACTCAGGGTTGGTGGCCAAACTGGCTCACTGCCTTTTGATTTTGCCACCGATATCACAGGTGGATCCTGGGAGACGCAGCACTGACGCCGGAATATGTAAACTGAACACTACGGGAATGCCATGGGGAGCTTGCTCAGCGATGGAGAAGGTTCCAGACCTGTGAGTTAAATCTTCAGATCTGGATTCACGGCTGGGATATGTTGTAGGCTGTGAGAAAGCAAACAGCCAGTCAACTGTCCAACAAGCAGTGTTACGAAACATGCCAACTATTTTTAACAAGTGAGGGTGGTTATCGAGCGTTTATGTGGTTCATTGAAACTCTCGCCCTGAATGAATGCAGCCCTGGCTGTCGAGACAGTGCGGGGACCAGGGCCCTCGGAGCCACAGCCCTGGGCAGCCCTGGTGCCCCAGAAGCAGTGTCCATTCGAGACCCCGACATCCCACACGCCCAGCACGTTTGTCACCATTTTCCTACGAGAGACCCCTTCAGAGGCTTTCTCAACCCAGAGTGTATCTCAAAGCACAAAAAG